CACAAGACTTACAATGGGAATCTCCCTCGCCCAGAAGTGAAGGCGGGACCGCAAAGCCTCTCGGGTGCTGCTCAAGATTTCCGCCTGAGAGTGCCCTTGGAAGACCCTGACAAGAACAACATGGGCAAGAAAACAATCCGAACAAAAAAGAACCTGCGTCTTGAGCAAACAAGCTCGAGCAAGCCAACAAAGAAAATCTTTCTACAGCAGTACCGTATGAATAACACCCAAATCGACCAAGCGGCATTTCACAAAAAAGACTAGCAACTGAGCGACCACTACACAATACGAAAGCAAAACAGATCCGTCTTGGATTGCACGTGACAACCAAAAATAACATGCCAAAAAAAACAACAACAAACCCCGAGGGGAGGCTGCGAAGAAAACCCCTGGGATTGGAAAAAGCAGGCCGGCAAGGAGATCGACGAGTGACTGGGAGGCACTACGTAGCTTGGAAGACCAGGTGAAAAACGGCCAGCGAACCAACACCTCGTTCGTCAAGGGAGGCAGGCTGTTTCGAACACAGTACAAACAATGCCGCCCCTGCGTACCCCCGCCCCCGCTTTCGCCTTAACGTCTGATGCCCCCTATTGATGGTCATGTTTTCAAAGAGCGCAAAACCTCTAGTAATAGCAAGGCCGTTGGGCGCTGGTCCCATTTTCAGCCGGCTCACCTTCTGAGGTCCGAACTGCGGCCGGTGCGGGCTGCGCGCTGCCGCTCTAGCTGCCGCTGGCTTGGAGCGCCGCTTGTCGTCGCGTCCAACGTCCCTCCTCCTGCCGCGCCCTCATGCTGCTTCTTCTTTCCCTGCTGCTGCTGCTGCTGCTGCTGCTGCTGCTGCTGCTGCTGCTGCGGGTCCTGCTCTTCCGCTGCCGCTGCCGCTGCCGCCGCCGCCGCCGCCACCACCATCCCGACGCTGCCCAGCCTCCCGCCGCCCTCCCCGTTGTCACCCCAATGGACGCCGACCTTGCCCATCATCGCACCGCCGCCGCCGCCGCCTTCGGCGCCGCCTTCGGCGCCGCCTTCGGCGCCGCAGGCGCCGCTGTCGCCCCAACGGCCGCCGGCGACCGTGTTCCCGCGCCGAATCATCGACGCGACGCCCCCGGCAGACTTGGAGATGGGCCACTCCTCGTCCAGACACCCGGCCGTCTCCTGCTTCCAGGAAATGAGCCCGCCGGCGACCAAGCCCACTGGCAGCACCGGCGGCGGGACGTAGGCCTCCGAGGGGGACCGCTGGGGTTGTTGCTCCGCTCCTGCGGACCCCAGCTGGTAGTAGTCGTGGTAGTCCCGGGGGAAGTGGTTCGGGGCGGCGGTGGTGAAGCTAGCGGTGGAGTAGGAGGTGACAGTGGCGATGGCCGTGGGGTTAGGGACGCTGATGTTGTCGTTGCCGTTGTTTGAGGGGTTGCCTCCCGTTTCCTCCTCCTGCGGCGGCGGCGGCGGTGCCGGCAGCGGCGGGGTCGTGCTCTCTCGCAGTGTGAGCATGTTCTGGACGGCCTTGCGGTAGAGGTCTTGCGGCACGATCGGCGTCGGGACCAGCTTCGTGTCCGAAGGCTTAATCGTCGACTGGACATTTTCAGTCGCGGTCGCGACAACAAACACGCAGCAGCGATAACAAAGTGTTTCGACAAAGCATTGATTGTGCGTGAGCAAAAGTCGACTTGGGGTTTGGCGCGAGAAAAAAGCACCCTGCTCCGCAAAATGAAATTTTTCCGCGCACTACCCAAAAAGGCGAGACCACGACATGGACGACACCCACAGTGTTTATCATGCGTGCCAGCAGCCTACCTCCTCCTACGACCTGACGGAGCAGTCGCGTTTCGAAGGCTACGGTTCCATTCACGACAAACCGCTTGAGATGGGCATCGATGCAAGTAGTGCGGGCGCAGCATCTTCAACCAACAAAGTAGTCTTCAAAATTCAAAAGAACGATGCACGTTCATTGTACTGTACCGTACACGGAACGAACGGATATTGGTTGTATAGTCTAACGGGAGAGAATTGAAAAAAGTACTCCATCACTGGAAATCCGGGGTCACCACGAATAGATGTCGCGTGAAACCACTACATAGAACACTAACGTATGCCATGATACCAGGCAAGAGACGATTGGACACCACTCACGAGGGCGGGCCGCCCGTTGGACCAATAGGAGACCTGGTTCCTCCTTAGCAACGCGAGCTGCTTGGCCACTTCCTGCTGGTACCGCTGCTGCACTTCCTGAGTTGCCAACGAACGAACGAACGAACGAACGAACGAACGAATGGACGGGCCCGTGTGGATTCGTGAGCAGCCCACGTGTACAATACGCAAAAGGTCACCATCGCGATGACGGCGAACAAAAAAAGCATTGGCAGCGGCAACAGAAACAACCGTAAAACAAATGGTACGACATCAACAGCAACAACAGACACAACATCCCAGAGAGAATCAACAACAGACGATGATTCGATCTTAGCAGCCACCACCGTCACAGAGTCGCAGAGGTATTGACTTCCGAGACAGCGGTTGGCCACAAGGCAGACGTACGTACGTCACGACGAAAGGCTCTACTGCTGCTGTCGAGGCAGACACGGGCCGTCATTTGGTGAACCCTTGGAAACAAGCACACACACAACTTGCCATGCGGAGACTTGTCTCAGCCTTGTAGTTCACGTGCGACCCTGAATCAAATAGTGTGACCAGGAAAGAAACCAAGAAAGCTCCTGCAAAGAGTAGCTACCCTACGGCGATACAGCAAAATCGGGGGACCTCCCTCTGAATCAAATTTCTCAGCAACCCGTTCATCCACAAAGGCTAAATTTCACACCACAATGGCTGACGTAGTTTCCGAAGCGACTGACGGGTGGTAGCACTAGATACAAGGGTAGTAGCACGTCCCCTCCCCTTCCGCGAAAACAAACTGTCCAGAGGGGGTTGGTCGTCCTACAATGCCTGGCACATGCTCTTTTGACCGCGGAGCCAAGGCAAGAAAGGCAACGAACATGGCATCGCGAGCAATTCGGCCTGCAGCCCAACAAGCCATTTTTCTACAATATTTCTATTTCGGCAACAAGCAATAAGAATCGGCAGGCCGTTCCTCCGTTGCCTCTTTGCATCACAAACCTTGATATGGATCTGTGCTGCCGTCGGTGCCTGCGTCTGAGCAGCCTTGGCCTTCTTTATTTCTTCCAGCTCTAGGTTCCGCCTGTGTTCTCGCACAGCAGTGGCCACCTTCTGGAGGGGCTTCTGCTGGTTGCTCGGTCGCTTCGACTGTTGTTGTTGTTGTTGTTGTTGTTGTTGTGGTTGATGCTTTTGGTGTTGTTGGATGTATCGTTGCTGAATCTCCATTATTTGCCTGGGCAACGCGTTGAGGGGGGGGGGGGTATGAGAACACATTCTGCGGGGCTGCTGGCTTCGTCCACCGGGGTTGAGATTACCAGGTGGAACGGTGACTCGAACAGAAAGCACGGGAGAAAGTGAGAACGCCGGGGGAGTGAGTCACAAGGCAGAGGGAATGGGAAAACGAAAGGCAGAGGGAAGGGGAATGGGAGAGATAGAGAACCAACGGAGCCAAGGGAGAGGGAGAGTGACAGAGAACGAGAGAGCAGGGGGGGGAGGGGGGGGGGGGTTAGCACTGCCATCTCTGATGGGCAAACAAGCCGGCCCTGCAGATACTCTGTTCGTTCGGTTACAGTACTGTACCTCTGCATCTCGATCGTTTTCTTCTGCTCGTCCTTCTTGAGCTTCTCTCTCGCCAAACGCACTTTCACCAATTGCTCCTCCCTCGTCCTGCAAATAAAAACAAAACCGTCGGATTGAGGTACCGCAGTAGAGCCAGCACATGGAATTACCCTGGCCAATGAGAGCGAAACCGTTCCATCGAGGTAGATCGAGCGCATGGAGTTCCTCTGGCCGACGGAACCAAAACCAAACCAAAACAACCTTTCCGTGTGTGGTTTGGATAAAGTTGGGGCAAGCACGCAAGATCATCTTCGTACTACAACTGCAGGCAATCCTGGGTAGGTCCCGCGGTAGTTGTTCTAGCGAAAATTCAAACGCACAGAAAGCAGATACTGTATCCACCCGCGCCAACAAGAGAATGACTTGATTCTCTCTTAGCTCCTCACGCCTCTGACAGCAGTAGGCATTGTCATCCCCCCACAGGGATGGACGGGAAAGGAAAAACCAAACGCGCCAACATAAAAATACACCCGCGCGCAACACCTCCACAACGTCTGGGAACCCGTATGGCGGGGTCCCAGATCATGGCGCTTTGAATAAGCATTTGCTGTTTAGGGCGCGCTTGAGAATTGCTACGTCTTTTCATTGGTCAGCAGGGTCGATGCTAACATAAACCATAAGAAAACGCCGACATACACAGGACGGATGCACGGCGCACACACGAAGGGAGAACAACACAAAGAGCAACCTGTCAAACGGTGCTATACGCACCTCTGACTGCGAGCGGCGTCGTCCTTCCAGAGCATCAGAAGCCTCTTCTCGTGTAGGTCCACCGGCGACGGCGCCTTCTTCGCGACGGAGGCGGCGCCCGACGACGGCTGCCTGGCCGCGGGACTGTCAGAACCGGTGCCCTTCTTCTCCAGGCCGCCTGCCTGCTTGATNGGGGGGGGGGGGGGGGGGGGGGGGGGGGGGGGGGGGGGGGGGGGGGGGGGGGGGGGGGGGGGGGGGGGGGGGGGGGGGGGGGGGGGGGGGGGGGGGGTCTACTCGCGATCGGCAGGACTGTTAAGGGGAACGTTTTGCGCCCGCCTGGGGTCTACAACTCTTGTCCTTCTCGAGCATAGTCATACCGTATCCGTTCAAGTCAAGCGTTGTGGGGGGGGGGCGCGGCGGGGAGCTTTGCAGCAAAACGAAAACCTCGTCTGAACGATAGTAGCTTACCTGCCCGGATACAACCAAGGGACGGGCTACAAACGACGGGGATCTAGCGCAAACGTCATGAATCTTTCCTATCCACTCTCCCACCAACGGCAGCACCGCTACCAGACGAACGGCAACAAACCAACTCCCGGAGAAAAAAAAACACGGATACACACACACGAGCGCCAAGCCCACACATCTATCTGCCTTCGTAGAGCGAGCGCCCATAGTAGCCGACCCACCTTCTTCGTGTCTACCACGCGCGGCGGCGCCTTCTTGCCCTTTCCCGAGCTGCCGTTGCCACCACTGCTACGAGCCGAATCCGCGGGATCAACGACGCCCTTCCACGCGCTCCCGCTGGCGCCCTCGGCGCAGCCTCCCCCTCTTGGCGAACCGCGGCCCGAGAGCGGATGCTTGGACACCATGCTCGGTTGCCATCCGGCCACCGCCCCTAGCCCGCCTTGCCCCTCTCTTGCCGACGCTCCTCCTCCTCCCTCCCGTGCGAACAGCCTACCCGTGCCGCCGCTGCCGCGGCTCCCCGGCGACTTGTTGCTCACAATCGGGCCCCCCGCGATTCGGATGGAAGAAACTCCTCCCTCCCCCCCCCCGCTGCCACCGAGGGGCCCCGACGAACCGGCACCGCCAGGCGGAGGCCGGCCAGCCACCATCGAGGCCGGGGCGGCTGCGACGGTCTTCTGGCCGTCCCCTGCTTCCGCTGCTGCTGCTGCTTCTTTTCCACCGGCGCTGCTGCTGCTGCTGCTGCTGCTGCTGCTGCCGTTCAGCTTCGCCTGGGCGGAAGAAGAACCAGCGGGGGGGGCGTCCTGCGGCCTTACTGCAGCATGTACGGGCGGTGGCGATCGACGGGAGCTCCCGCTGACGACGGCGGCGGCACCGACAACTTCGACACCGTTGCTGCCGTTCTCACCACCACCAACGACTCGCGTGGCAGGGCACCCGGCCACGGCCGCGGCTTGGGCTGGAGCGCCCACCAATCCAGCGCAAGGTGTGGCGGCGGCGGCGGCGGCGGCGGCGGCGGCGGCGGCGGCGGCGGCGGCAACGCCACCGTTGCCACCACCTCCGTTGCGACTCCCCGCCGCGACGACACCAACGTCGTCGCTGTTGCGCGTGCCGCCATGGTCGGATACGACAACCGAGCGCGGGGAGCTATAAGAAAAGGCCTCGTTGCCACCGACTCCGCTGTTGCTGCTGCTGCTTCTGCTGCTCCCACTGCTGCCGCTGCTGCTGCTGCTACTCCCGCTGCTGCTCCCACTGATGTTGCTGCTGCTGTTGCTGCTGCCACTACTTCCTGCTGCCGGGCCTGGCAGAATCTTGCGTGCGGCTGCGTTGACACGTCTAGAGGGAGACGGTGGCGAAGACTCTGAGGAGGAGCCGGAGGAAGAGGAAGAGGATGATGACGACGATGACGAACAAGAATCAGACGACGAGGACGAAGATGCAGAGGCCGGGGGAGGAGGGGGGGGCGTCTTGCCGCGGTTGCTGCTGGTTCCGTCGCCCGGACCGCCACCCTTGCCCTTACCCTTGACGCCACTTTGCCCGCGGCCGTCGTCGCAGTCGCTGCCCTCGCCCACCGCTTCGTTCCCAGGGGTCGATCTGTTCTCCGTGAAGATGGGCAGATCGTACATTTCGGGACTCTTCAAGGTGCAAGCAGGGCCGCCGGGGGGGGGGGGGGGGNGGGGGGGGGGGGGGGAGGGGATGAACGCGCGCGTGTTTCAGATCACAACAAAAAAACACGAGCCTTCTCTGTCGGCATGAAAACGCCGGCGTGAGACTCGTCGCCTGACGAATCCAGTGAGAGTCTTCTTGGCGCGCATTTTTTTGGGGGGGGGCGCGAAAACTGTACATTATGGTACCATCAGTGGGGCAAGATCGCGCTGAGTAGAATTGTGAACCAATCTCGCAATAAATGTGAAGGGGGACCAACTACTGTCACAGGAGGGCGACCGGCGCATGTGCGTGAGCCTGAAACCGAAAATAAACATCAATTGCGGCGAAGACGACTCGAGGTGCGGAGAACGCCAACTCATTATGGGCCGACACCCGCTGTGTCGTAGCCCGTGCTGGTGATGTCAGCTGCGCACAGCGCTGTGCAACCAAAAAGTAAGGATGCGAAGTCCTGAAATGGGAGGCACTTACTTCCTAGCCTCCGGTTGTTGGACTGTGGCGACCGCTCAGCAGGGCCACATACGTGTACATCGAACGAGTCTGAGAACGAAGAGAAAGAGACCCGTATGTCCCCCTGCCAAATGATGCCACCCCGAACCGGTCCCCTTTTCAAACATGCAAGCACAAGAGGTTGGCGTCCAGCAGATGAACAGCTTGCCCATGGCCTCATTTTTGAAGCACAGCAGCAGCAAGCAGAAGCGGGTTTCAAAACACGTTCGACGGCTCACCCATCCGGCCGAACGGTACCACGGGAAGGAGTCGAGGAAGAGGGGGTTCCTCAGCGACAAGTCCAGCACGTCTTGATCGGTCTGCCACGATCAACCAGCAACAGCAGAACAAAACAAGAGCGGCTCAATGCCAAATAACAGACGTTTCCACGTAACCCCCAAACAATAAACGACAAAGCTTCAGTACTGTCCAGGGGACCATTGTATAACGAAAACGAAGCCCCGAAGGATGTCAGACAGCAGTTTCGAGAATACAAGCATGAGATTTCAGAATGCGTCTCATTACCGCTTCTCGATTTTTTATTTATGTAACATAGCGAATCCACCTCATTCGTATTGTGTAGATTAATTGTGTTTTTGAGTTTGTGAAGGTCTGGCACACACCCCCCGCCGGCGTCACGAATGTTTTTTCTTTTTTTTCTTAACACTGTACAACTTACCAATGGTATGTAGCACTGTTTAGTAGCACAAAATATCCATCTCTTGTTTATTCAAAGACAGGGATCTAGGATCAGCAATAAACTCATAGCGTTAGCAGAGCACTACCTTTTACCCTGCGCCTCATTTTGCGGTGCTTGCAGCCTTCACGAGCGAAAACGATCCAACAACGACCTGCTGTGCCATACATAACGGTCCCGAAGTCTCTTCATGATACAGCCCCTTCCCCCTCCATCAGCTACTGCCGCTAAACAAACCATGCATCTTCACCTCGCAGCCCACCACGGGCCCGGCGTTACGAAGCCACTTGAGAAACCCTCGTGGGGGATCCCACGTCGCCGTCTGATCAGCATCCTCCCAGCCTGGCGCCACGAGGTGCAGCTGGTTCACCCTGCAGTAAAACGTTCCCTGTGGTGCAAAACCAAACGGTGCCCATCGGCAAAGCACGTGTATAGTACTGCTGCAGCGTGGCAAAGAGGGCGGGACAGCTTGCGGCGAAGCGCGCACAGCGGCGTCCTGCTATGTGCTTCGAACGACATGATGATACGGACGGACTGGGACGGTTTTTTTTGGGACCCCCGATTTGCTCCGCTGCCGTTGGTTGTGTTGGATCCTGGCGTACCGTAGACTGGGCTGTAGACCACTTAGTGGTACAGGAATTGAGTGTGATGTTTTATGTTTCCCTTAAAAACGAAAAACGCGCGCCCGCTTTGAAGCGCAGCGCCAACAGCGGTGCGGTTGTGCGATGGGTGCCGCCTGGCCTGCCCAAGCACGCACAGATACACAGGGAGGGTGGACCTAGAAAGCCGATTCTCAACTCCAACGTACCGCAGGCGGTGTGGAGAGTCAGCCTGAGTGTGTAACATTCGCGATCCGTATCTGTCTCATGGATGCAGCATACCTTCGACTGGTACTTGCACTTGGCACACCTCGAGCATTTAAACCTCCGCGGGATCGAGGTCACCATGCTCGGTGCGAGGCGAGCACCACCGCGGACATCCTCTTCACTACTCGTTCTACCGCTGTTGTCGCTGTTGTCGATGTTGTCGCTGCTATCACTGCCGCTGCTACTGCTGCTGCTGCTGCTGCTGCTGCTGCGCTCCATGTCCTGAGGCCTCTTCCTTGAAAGCTTATCGTCGTCACGGGCAGTTTCGTCTCTATTTTCCCTGCCCTCGCTCATCCTTTCGGGGATTGCTGCCCCTCGCTTGGTCTAGAACAGAAACGCGCCCTTAAAATAAAGCGATCAGCCTTCTTGGTGCGGCCTGTCTCAGCCTGATGACAATGAACCCATATAACCCGGCACAGCATCATAGACCAAGAGAGGGATGCCCCCGCTGTGACCTTGTAAATATGTTTGCATCCTACGGAACCCCTTGCAAGATCCAAGATCTTGGACCCGTCGCTTGGCATGTTTTGTGTTGTGGGGCAAAAGGTACGAGCTCTTCGCGCACGTGTCCCGTGCTGTACGCTCGTGATCAAGTCGCGGCTAGCACAGGATCATGGAACAATAAAGGGGGCTGTGGCGACAAGGACCATCGATAGACGATGACGGTGACCAAACATTTCAGGCAGTTGGGATGTTACCTACGCTGCAGCTGTACAAACCGTAGATGCATCTATATCCTTGTGTATGCGGTAGTACTTCGGCGCGGACCTCTCTGCAAAGGGTAGACAAGCTCCCCACATTATGTTAAGCATCTCTACTGCTGCTGTACGTACTAATGTACTATACCTAGACTACAGATATAGCGCCCGCACTCAAGAAGTTACAACTACGGTATGCTCAATGAAGTACCAATCGTCAGAACTCCAGTTCTTTCGTGGTACATTAAGAGTCTAGACTAGTCTACTCTTTGTTGTCGTGTTCATTATTGGGGACCAAAGATTTTGGGATTAAAGCAACTCTGGAACGAGTTTAATGTGAAGACAACAAAAACAACACATTGTCCTCGAACTCTACAGGGACCTACCGGACCACCACAGGCAGACTACGTAACCGCGGCAATTTCGAGTCTAGTTCTCGGCCAAAAACAGTAGGTAGGTGTAGTCTAGAGCTGTAATTCAACAGTAGGAACAAACGTTCAGTGCTAGGAAATGCGTATATTCCGCTGTTCTACAGCATTTATGCAGTACAGAGTTAGCGCCCGTTTGCGAGTCACGAAATTCAGGCTCATCGTCTAGAAAAGAAAATGTGAACTTGTCCATAAGAACGGGTGCACAGTCAAGAGAACCTCACTAAAACCTAAATTCAGTCGCCGTGGGTGTACAGTTAGCGCCCGCGTTTAAGAGACGTCAACTTGAGGTCGACGCTCAATCTCAAATTTCGTCACCACCATCGAGCATGGGTCATTACATCGGCTGAGGTGTGTCTCTTAGTCGATTGTTCTTATGTATCGCCAATATATGAGCCTTTGTTTATTGAAGTCTTGTTTCTTCGTCGCGGGCGCTAACTGTACCCTATGGATAAAATCAGAAACGAGCCTTGACCAACATGAACGGTTGCGGGCGCTAGGTGTTGTGCTATCCTAAGAAACAGAGGCTCTTCTATTCACGAAAACCATGCGGAAACAAGAAAACTAGGCTAAGAAACACAGCTCAGCGGTGGATCCTAGACTAAACACTCTATTGCGACTGGTGATGACGTAAGAACCTGCCTAGGCCCGTGTCGACGCTTCTTGTCGCAGGGCGCGTTCTGTATTACAGTCTACACCGCAAAAAAACGATCTAGCTGCTGCCATGTCAAACACCTTGTGGTGGCCTTTTTATCTGCGCGTGGCGTGTCTGGAGCCCGCACAACTCTGTTGAGTACTGCATCAGTC